AGAGCAAGAATTGCAACAACATTAAGGCAATTTATCAAGAGTGAGCCAGCAATTCGTACCATCAGCAGACCCCTAGAAGAAATAAGGGGTTAGAACACGTTTTCTGCTTTCAGAAAGATCAGAATCTGTTCTCCAGACTTTAGCTACCAAGCCTTAATTTCGAAGTAGCCTTTAGAAATGTCAATATTGTTCTATCGAGTTTTTCAACTTTAAGTCTTCTAAAGAACAAGAGATTTCGTATGCAGACTTCCTAATTTTTATGTATCTATGCAGAATATTGAAAAGTTAATTATGATAATGTGCAACGTTTTGAAAGGTTTGCTTTTGCTGATGTTTAAACACATTCTTAGAAGAGAATTCTAAGCATCTACAGTCAATTTTACTCGTACTGCACAAAGATTAATTTAAACTGTTGTTCTACTTCTAAATTCACCCTCCCAAATTCAAAGTATAAAAGATAATTTGACATACCCTTTAAATTTAGTATTAAAGCATACCCGATAATCTGCATCACATTGATACATCCCACCACAAAATTAGGTATTTGAGCTGATATACCCAGGGCACTCATAAAACTTTTCGCATACGACGTCTTGTTTCCATCAATCGTGAACCAGTATTCTACATAGTACTGTAATAAAAACCTTTCTAATTTTTTTTGATTCACATTCCAGAGCTGGCTTGTTTTAGTAAAAAAAAAATTTTATTACTAGCATAATAACTGTGTCGCCGATAATGCGATACCGCTCGAAAGGAATTTCTTTTTGATTATTTTCAAAGAAATATAACATATTTGACGTCTTTCATGGAGTGAGAATCAGAAAATATTTCTTTGGTAAATCTAAAATAACTCACATTGGGAGCGATTGTGATAAACATATTCCACGGAAGAAGAACACCAATACCATTTAGTAAAATTATCATAAAAGCAAGATAAAACTGAAAGTGCATCCTTAATTATTCATACATTCAACAATTTATTTATTCATTCGTTCATCCACTCATTCGTTCATTCTCTCTCATTTGTTTCATTTCTACAATCATCTTAAAACTCTTTACCCGATCGACTGGTGGTTCTTCCTTATCCTCTGTTATCGTGCCATTCTTATCCTTTGTGGCGACACTGCTCATACTACCTAAACTCCATCGATTTTCCATTTCTTGGATTATCTAAAAAAATTTCCAAACATCACGTTTATTTTTCCGGTTGAGACGAAGGTAAGAAAAGACATCATCAACAATAAAGCCATGTGGAATTTGGTGTAGAGATTGTTTTCTTCGCTACTTTTCTTTACTAGTGTCACTCTTACAGAGTTTTTGAACTTGCGGACCAAACTTTTGCTCCATTAAAAGAATCAGTTGGAGGGCCCATCATGAACATATGTTCTTTTGCCGCATCACTTGCATTGCAGTCCTTCCCAAATTCCTTAAACAGGAGCAGTCGAACTTGCTTGGAATCAGGAACGATTTCAGCCATCTTCAACCGTAACGATTGATGTTAAGGCAAATCTGGTATAAGCATACTATTGGCTAACACCCTTAAACTCGCTTTTAGAAAGTTTCAAAAGTCTCGAAAAATTTGGCAGGGTACGAAGTAAGTGGCAGGGAACTTTTTCAACAACTCGATAAGCGCGTAATTAAAAAAGAAGAATTTGGGCTATTCGAAAAATTCTCATCTTTGTTCAGTGGAATTCAACTGCGGGAGATATGAAAGAGCGATAAAATCAACGCAAGTCAAGCAATTTGAGTAAAATATCTTTTAATATGTAAATGGGAGAGATATTATGAATACAAAACTTTTTGACTGCATTTTATTGGAAGGTGAAACACCCTGCCGCATCTTATAATGTTTCTACGAGTATCAAAAGCCTTCACTTGTAAGAAACGGCGGAGTTCTAAAAATCAATTGAAATTGAAGCGATAATGCCTTCAAAGAATCTAACAACAGAATAATAAGGGTAAAAATCGAAGTCCTAGAAAGGGTAACATTTAAAGGCGTACAGCTTCGGTCAGTGATGAAGAAGATGACAATGGTTGTTTACAAGAAATTTTTAGTTTAACTCTATTTTTAAGGGAGTTCGAGGCATTGAAACGGGATTTATTGATTCATTTTACACCATTATTGCATTGCTTCAAAATGAAATGCATTTCCTAAAGAATTTTCTCGAAGGCATTGAATTAGTTCTTCGGTGGACAAAAAAGGTTGCACTGTACTACGTACTTTCTTGATGGTATTTTTATTACAAGAACTGGTAATTGTCTTTTAAGGAAAGATCTTTTTTAATGCTTTTTTTTAAAAATGGAACTATAGTTGTCTCTGACACGGAGGCTGTGTCAAACAAAGGATTAACGAGCAACAAAAAATTTTACACCTTTGGGTGATCATTTGACACTCACGGGGGAAAAAACGTCAAGGATTAGATCTGTCACAACTTCTGGTTGTTCATGAATCACCGAGCATTTTTACAAATTTCGCGAGATACAACGTTGAAGGAATAATTTATTTCAAACAATGCTTTGAATAATCGCTGATTGCATTAATTACTGTGACAAGTTTAAATAAAGCACCTTTATTAGAAGAAGGGTCTAAGCGACTACAGTTTATCTCACAGAAATAGATAAAAAATGAAATAAGTTGTAAATGAAGTCAAATTAAACGCGTCTACGTTTTCTTCGTTGTTGCAGATATGTACAAGCAGATATCGAGACACAATACCTTTGTATCTTGGGACTCCCCCTGAATTACTCCACCAAAAGAAAAGCGAAGAGAAGCAATTGACAGTGCAAGTGATTTCTCAGCAAGCGGCTTTTGACATGATCCCAATGACGCTTTGGTGTGAGTCAGTGTTTTAGAATTTTTATATCGCAACTAATATACATAAATAACTTAACCTTTAAAACATCTCCAGTGCCAATATATGGCGCTACTAATTCCTATTTTTCGATTGGAATAGTGGCCTAATATCAAAATATCCTTGGATCCTAAAGAAAATTGTTTGTCGTGTGCTGATCGCT